GTCTGTTACCTGGGTCCCACTTTGAGCTGTGCATGGGAAACAAAGCAGCCAAGGGGGCAGGAGATCTCCCCCATAATGGAGAAGGTTCAGGCGCCTGCCATGTTGCAGGGGGGATTGGCAAGGCTCTGTGCCCCACCTCTGTTAACCCCCAAGTTCTCTCCTGATGGCCCCTCTGCGACTGTGCCTGTCTTAGGTTGGTCCTTCCTTGAGGAATCTTACCCGTTTCTGGCTAACCAGCCATCCTCTGGGGCCAAACAGGGTGATGTGAGGTTTAGATCTGTCTCCTTGGTAGCCTATGCCCCCATGGGCTCCACACCAAGCACCTGCCTTGGGAACCCCTCACCTGCTGACAGGGCCCAGGCATTAATCTCATATTTTTGGGAACCCATGTTCAGCATCTTTTTGTATGACTCATTCCTTATTTTTTAAAATTACACCATTTGTTTTTACCCTACTACACATTAATTTCTCATGTATGCCTAGAATGCCTTCAACATTTACAACTGCAAACTCCCACTCCCTACAAATCCAGTTCACTTCATCTTTAAGAATTTACTTATTTCTCCAAGTTCATTTTCATGTTCTTTTCCACATACACATGTTGTACCTTGTTTGTGCTTTAATTACTGCATGCATCTCATATTTTTGCATTCTTTGCAGATTAGCCTTTTTAATCTTATATGCAAGGGCTGTGTCTCTTTTGATTTATATCTTTACTGCCTTGTACACTTCTCACACATAGCAGGTACTCACTACCCTTAGATGGACAGGCATATAAATGGCTAAAGAGATGGTTAAAACCTAACATATTTATATACAAGAGTCCAATAGCTGGTGGCCCACTTGATTAATTGGTACTGTGCTTGTCAATAAACTTCCAAAATGGAAGATAAGAGTTAAATATAAGGATCGCATCATTCTTTAGATTTCCCAGAGTGATCACTTAAATTTCATTCAATGAAAAAAACAGTGTTAACATAATGTTGAACTAAATTTGTCTTTATGTTATCAACTTGACACAATATCATCTCCCACATATTTGTAATAAAATGTAGCCTAACTTGTAAAAGTATTTTGACATGAACTCCCACACATACAATGAAGTCTTCCTTCTTCCCATTTGCTATGCACGAGTGCACACAGCATATGCTTGCATGGCATTCTTTTTATGGGACAGTGCATTTAATCTATAATTACAGCTTTATTAAGCATGGAATATTATCAAAGACAAAGAGATGAAGGCAACAAAGGATTCATGCCATGCAGTATTGCGCCTCCATTATTTCAGAAGCCGAAGCTCTCTCAGCGAGGCTGTTATAATTTATCATTTGTTTCCAACAACCCGTTTCAGCAATAACCTGTCCACTGGTGCACATCTTCACACGGAGACCCTTTCTCTTGATGTTTGGCAGGTCTCTGGACCTGCATCTTGTTCTTTCTCATAATACCCAAGAATGGACACTCTGAGAATGGGCAGCGCCTTCTTTATGTTGCAAATGGGTTTATGTCACAACTGGGTTGAAAGAGGAGAAACATTTTTCTGAATGAGAGACATTGGTTTGTTTCTTGGGTAATGCAGTGTAACAAAGTGACTCATCTGGAGGAGGAAAAATAAGAAGTAATATTATATTTTGGTGTCTGGTTTTATTCTCCACTTTCCTAAAAATTAGTTAAATTAGCTCAGCTAATGAGGGTTGAGTGTGTCCACTCTGTCCGTGCATCTCTTCCGGGTTAAAAAAGCAGCAGGTGTCTGGGGAAGCTTTAATTTCTCCGGAGGGCAGCAGAGGTGTCCTTTCTGTGTGATTTTCCTGCAGAGAAGCAGCTCAGCCCTGCGGGAACGTGGTTCTCACTCCAGAAAGGTTAGCCTGCCTGGAATCCGGTCATGCAGGGAGACCCTGGCCATGTCTAAGCTGACCTATCTCTGTGTGGACCAAGCTTCATTAGTCCGCCTGCTGTCCCCAGAACTTGCAGCATTGTGACAGCTCTGTGGAGGGGGGCCCTGGAGCCAAGGTGGCCAACTGCTCAGAGGCTTAGGATGCGCTTGCTGCTGAGGCTGATGTACACCACAATGATGATAGCAATAGATCTGAGGATATCAAATGCATCATGCTGACAAAGGGGTAGGTGGGTGCTCCAGTGTGCAGTGAGGCCTGGCTTCAAAGAGGGGGAGAAGGGTCCAGATGTGAATTTGTCTAATCGGGTCTACACTTCCTTCATAAACATGCAGGGCCTGACATTCCTCAGGATGACAGGAACCCGAGAAAGAATGAACGAGTTCCCTGAGTAAATCACCAGGGCTTTTCTGCAGCCAGCCACCCCTGGCCATTCTGACGTTGCCCTGGAACTTACTTCCTTATTCTGTTTTTCTCAGAAGAAAACAGCCTTCTAAGGAGTGTCAGAATGTGCACGCGGCTACAGATTACTTGTTGGAGTGTTTCTACTTTTGACTTACCTATGACAACCTGGTTCTTTCATTATTACCTAGCACGCTCTGTTTTTGCTTCATCTATAGATCTGTTTCTTATCCGTGTGTGGCGCGGCATGTGGTAGGAAAAAATCACAGCACAGACACCCTGGGTTCTCTTATGGCAGCCCTTCTGCCCCCATTAGGTTCTTTTTCCAGAAGGTCACAGCTCAGCTCTGCTCCTAGCAGATGCCCAGACGCCTTCCAGGAAAGCACTGTGTTGAGTTTGTCCGTTGGTCTAAATGCTCAGGGTTTGTATAAGAAGTTCAATCTACCACAGGATTTTACCCATCGCCTTTCCTGACACAGAGGCCCATTCCTTTCCCATGTTCCTCTTCTCAGAATGTTAATGTTCATACAAGTGACACCAAGTAATCTATTTGCATGTTTCAAGTTAAAGGGACTGTTTCTGAAGAGTTTCCAGGGGGAGTAACCAGAGTTTAGTAGGGGCTAAATTTGTTAATAGGGGCTCCTCTGTGCCCTGGGGCAGCCTCAGGCTGAACCCTTCCTCAGCTCCTGCACTATGTCCACTTATTTATGCCACGTGGCCAACCACTGTAGGGAAACCTGGTTTCATTTTTCCACCAACTGACTGAGACCTGTCCACCCAATAATAACTGCCCAAATCTATTCTTGTTTGCATCTGCAATGATCATTAGAACTGCACAATTTGGATACCAGATTTACATAAAATAGACTTAATTAGGAATCTCAGTGGGAATTTTCACTATAAAAGTTGGCCTTCCCTTTCTCTCAGTGAAAGGCAATTTAGAATGCTTATCAGAATCTGTCTCTCCCGGGCTGCAGCTAATTTTATAGCTAAAAATGCATTTTTTTCTTACTTATAGTCTCAAATTAATTTTGGTTTATATAACTTTAATTAATAAACTAATTTGGAAGATACACTACAGTTGAAGACTTAAATACCCATTGACTCACTTTAAAAAAACAACTAAGGAGAGATCAATAGAAAATTAAACATTAGTCTTTAAAAATATGTGTTTCTTATATTTTTTTCAAAATATAGGGAAAAAAACCCTGAATATCCATTTACAGCTAAAGTGTAAAATAAATTGTGTTGAACACAAATTCTAAAATATTTAAAATAATGAGATAAAACTATATTTGATCATCTAATATCACAGAGGTACACTCATTGGTGCTATCAATTGAGAAAAGCAAGTTACAACAACAAAAATCTTTCTCTTTTATTTACATATTACATGTCAGGCTATAAGCTCTTTTTTAAAAACAAAGAATAATGGATGGAATTAATTGCATTAATCCCTTGCATATTTTATTAATTATACATTCACTGGTTTTACTAATCATGTACAACTTAATATTTAAACATGTATTAAAAGTTTTTATAAAAAACACTGGAGGTATTTGGACAAAAAAGCCAATGTCCTCAGAGCCTTATGGAATAGCTGCCTCACCAAAGGTTTGACACCAGCAGAGACTTGGTGTTATTCTTTGCCTGACTAGAGAAGATAAGCTTAGATACATATTATTTTACAGTACAAATTTATTCAAGGTACTGAGATTTACAAACTAAAATAAATTAAGCTTGAAGAAAGTATGGCTTGCAGTGAGAAAAAAAAAAAAGGAAATTTGGGGTGAAAGCTATTAAATAAATGATTGTTTGGTCTTGATCTGGCATCTAGAGGGGTTCAGGAAATGTGGCTATGCATAAATTAAATAAGAGTTCAGAGATGAAACATAATTTTGAAAGTTATTTGGGGAGGAGCAGGGTGGGCAGAGGAGCCTGGCTAAAGAAATCAAATTCTCCTTGTCTCAGGACCCTTTGCTTTTTATTAACACAATTTGTCCAAGGCAATATGGAAATATACACAATCAAAGGCCAGGGTTACTTTACAGAGTCCATTGTCAGATTGGGGAATAGCTTACAGCTCTTCAAGTATTTGGCCAGTAGGAGACAATAACATGTAGATTAAGATGCCCTGAGCTGTCTGGCAGCAAACAATCATCCTTTTCAGGTTTGGGGAAATGCCATTCCCAACAGTTAGTAACATATATGACTCAACCCTTGTCGAGTCTCCAAGTTCCAACAACCTTTCAATGAAACTCTTGCAATTATGAGTACTTGAATTGGCTTCTAGAAACTATTCTTCTTTTATATTATTTCCCATTGTACTATTTGCTACAAAACAATAAACACATAAGAACATTAAATAATTGTAAACATGTAACTATTTATTAAATGCCTAGGATGTGTAGCTACTGTTCTAAGTGCTAGGGATATATTAGTGACCAATTTTGACAAAGATTATATCTAGACAAATTATACATTTGTCCTATTCTCAAATAGTACTGTAAAGTCATATTATAGATTCTACATTCTATACTTATTAAGAAGAATCTATTTCTAGGGCTAAAAGGGGCCAGAAGTGGTATTAAACTCATTTTTTTTGTTTATAAATGAAAATCAAGGAGCACTGAGTCTCAATATTAAATGTAAATAAAATTATTCTTGAGAATACTATAAAAATGCCCATTCTTGCATGCATTCCACTTATAAATTTAGTGTAGAGCCCAGGATTCATATTTTACAAAGCATCTCTGATAACTTTTTTTTCTAAGGTATTTTGGTACCACCCTTTTAGTAATAGTAGACTACAGAGTGGCTGGAAGGGTGACCCATCACTGCTTAACTGGAAATTGTCCCTATTGCTATTAAATTAAAGGTGTTTGTTTGCCTGTGCACATCAAAGCTTATAAGAAGTAAACAGAGGTTTGCAGAAAAGAAAGTGAAGGTTTAATTAGGAAAATGGTGCAAAGTAAGGAGGCACAGGTGAGCTGATGTTCTAAAATCTGGCTCTTCTCACAGTGAAAGCAGTCCTGCAAGGGCAGTTATTAGTATTGCAGGCCTACCTCAAAAAACAAAAACAAAAAACACAAAAACAAAAAACAAGAAAAACTGGTAATAAATTATCTAACTCTACAATTTAAGGAATTAGAAAAAGAGCAATAAGATAAGCCCAGAGTAAGCAGAAGGAAGGAAATAATAAAGATCAGAGCAGAAATGAATGACATAGAGAACCCCCAAAACACACACACACACACACACACACACACACACACACACACACACATACCAAAAAACAAAAGATCAATAAAACCAAACCAATCGCTGGTTCTTTGAAGGGATAAACAAGATTGATGAACTTCTAGCCAGACTCACTAAGTAACAAAGAAAGAGGACCCAAATAAACAAATCCCACCTTACAAAACTTAATCAGGAAGAATAAAAAAAATCTGAATAGGCCAATAACTATGGAATAAATTAAAGCAAAGATAACAAACAAACAAACAAACAAATCACAACAACTTCCAGCACACAAAAACCCTGGGCCAGACAGCTTCACAGGAGACTTTTATCAAACGTTCAAAGAAGAACTAGGAGGATCCAAGATGGCTGCGCCCAGGTGAACACCTAGCCGCAGCCGCACACAACAATTTCAATAAAATACAACTAAAATATAAAACGGACATTGCCCAGAACTACAGGAAGGTTGACTGACTGGAAATTCTACAGCGAGAAGCAAGGAGAAAACCAGAAGGAGGCGCGGAGGAGCTGGAAAAGCCCAAGGTACGGAGACGCGGCGCGCGGAGAGGACGGAGCCAGAGAGGAGGGAGGCCGAGTGCCTGGCGGGCGTTCCCGAGCGGAAAGGAGAGAAAAGCTCCGACTGTGCTGGGCCCCCAACTTCTCTGAACCCGGTTCTGGGCCAGACCCCGGGGACTCAGGCTCAGCCATAGGGAGCCGGGCTGTAAGGCGGAACCCCAGGGAGAGGAGAAAGGAGGTCCCGGAGGCGCGCATACGGCGCGCAGAGAAGGGACGGTCGGCTGTGCCGCGAGATTGCCCTGACGGGAAGGAGACTGGGGCTCCAGACTGCTCTGAACGCCACCTCCAACTCCACTTCCAACTGAACTGAACCCCAATACCGGGCTCATTGGGGGAGAGCATAGACTGTTTGGCAGCAAGCGAAAATCGAGGGCACCTTTCTCTCAGAGGCGCCGGCAGCAGCGAGCACTGAAGGACCCGCATAGGGCGGAGCTGACGGAAGCCAAAGCTGCAGGCTCCACCCTGAAACCGCGTCCCATCAGTAACTGCGAAATGCGACAACAAAATAGATCACAAACGAAAGAAATGGAGGACAAAAAGCATCTGGATATAGAGTTCAAATCTACGCTTATAAGGTTTTTCAAGAATTTCCTAGAAAAGATGGATAAGGCCTATGAGGATATGAAAAGAGATCAACTAGAATTAATAAGGAGTCAACAAGAAATGATAAGGGATCAACAAGAAATAAAGAATACATTGTCTGAAATAAAAAATATTTTACTGAGTCCTAAAAACAGAAGGGAAGATCGCAAGAATCAAGTCAAAGATTTGGAACATAAAGAACCAGAAGACACTCCTCCACAGAAGCTAGAAGGCAAGAGAATCCAGAAAATTGAAGATAATGTAAGAAACCTCTGGGACAACTTCAAGCGAACCAACATCAGAATTATGGGGGTCCCAGAAGATGAGAGAGAGCAAGATATCAAAAACATACTGAAAGAAATAGTGACAGAAAACTTCCCCTACCTGGTGAAAGAATTAGACTTACAAGTCCAGGAAGCGCACAGAACTCCAAACAAAAGGAATCCAAAGAGGACCACACCGAGACACATCATTATTAAAATTCCAAGAGCAAAAGACAAAGAGAGAATATTAAAAGAAGCAAGAGCAAAGAAGGTAGTAACCTACAAAGGAGCACCTATACGATTGTCAGCTGACTTCTCAAGAGAAACCATGCAGGCCAGAAGGGAATGGCAAGAAATATTCAAGGTGATGAATAGCAAGAACCTACAGCCAAAAATAATCTACCCAGCAAAGCTATCACTCAGAATCGAAGGCCAGATAAAGAGCTTCACTAATAAAAAAAAGCTAAAGGAGTTCATCACCACCAAACCAGAATTATATGAATTGCTGAAGGGGGTTCTTTCAGAAGAGAAAGTAAACAAAGATAAAAATTATGAACAACAAATACATAACTATGAACAAGTGAATCTAAAAACCAAGGAAATTAAAAAAATCTGATGAACAATATTAACTGTTGAATATAATAGAATCAGAGGTATGGAAGGGGAGTGAACTGACGATTCTTGGGGTAAAGGGGAGAGGGGGGCGTGGGAAGAGACTGAACATAAACTGTGCACCTATGGATGAGGACAATGGGGAGAGGGGAAAGGGCAGAGGGCGGGGTGGGAACCTGGTGGAGGAGAGCAATGGTGGGGGTGGGGGGGAAGGAACATTTGTAATAATATGAACAATAAAAACTTATTAAAAATAAATAAATAAATAAATAAATAAAAAGGAAAAAAACAAACAAACAAACAAAGAACTAAAACTTACCCTTCTCAGACTATTCCAAAAAATTAAAAAGGAAGGAACACTTCCAAGCTCTTTCTATGAAGCCAGCACTATCCTAATCCCAAAACCAGATAAAGACAACAAAATGAAAGAGAGTTACAGGCCAATATCCCTCATGAACATAGATGCCAAAATCCTCAACAAAATTCTAGAAAATCAGATTTAGCATTATATTGGAAAAATCATACACCATGACCAAGTAGGATTTATTCCAGGTATATAAGGATGGTACAATATCTACAAATCAATAAACATGATACATTACATACATAAATTGAGAGATAAAAATCACATAATCATATCAATTGATTAAAAAAAAGCATTTGACAAAAATCTAATATATTTTCCTGATAAAAACTCTCAACAAAGTGGAAATACAGGGATCATACCTCAACATAATAAATGCCTTATATGACAAACCCACAGCCAACATCATACTCAATGGTCAAAAACTAAAACCATTTCCCCTAAGAATAGGAACAAGATAGGGATGGCCACTTTCACCACTCCTGTTGAACACAGCACTGGAAATGCTAGCCATAGCAATCAGACAAGAAGAAGAAATAAAAGGCATCCAAATTGGAAAAGAAGAAGTAAAACTATTATTATTCACAGATGACATGATATTGTACATAGAAAACCCTAAAGACACTATAAAAAACTACTAAATTTAATAAATTTAATAAACTACTAAATTTGGCAATGTAGCAAGATACAATAATAACACTCAGAAATCAATGGATTTGTAAAATATATATATTTATTTATTTCAGAGAGAAAGGGAGAGGGAGAGAGAAATAGAAACATCAATGAGAGAGAATCATTGATTGACTGCCTCCTGCATGCCCCCCACTTGGGATTGAGCCCCTAACCAGGCCTTATTCTATTGACCAGAATCGAACCTGGGACTCATCAGTTCACAGGCTGGCACTCTGTCCACTGAGTCAAACCAGCTAGAGTTCTATGGCTTTTTTATACACCAATAATGAACTCACAGAAAGAGAAACAACAAAAATAATCACATTGCACAGAAAAAAAAAATTAAGCTACCCAGGAATAAACTTAACTAAGAAGGTAAAAGACTTATATTTGGAAAACTACAGGACATTGAAAAAAGAGATAGCGGAATACATAAACAAATGGAAGAATATATTGTGTTCATGGATTGCTAGAATCAACATCATTAAAATGTCCATATTGTTTTGGATAGTATTAATACAATCCCCATCAATGCAATCCTCATTAAAATACCGATGGCATATTTCACAGATCTAGAACAAAGTTTCAAAAATTCATATGGAGCCGAAGCCGGTTTGGCTCAGTGGTAGAGCGTCGGTCTGCGGACTGAAAGGTCCCGGGTTCGATTCCGGTCAAGGGCATGTACGTTGGTTGCGGGCACATCCCCGGTAGGGGGTGTGCAGGAGGCAGCTGGTCGATGTTTCTCTCTCATCGACTTTTCTAGCTCTCTATCTCTCTCCCTTTCTCTCTGTAAAAAATCAATAAAATATATTAAAAAAAATTCATATGGAATAAAAACAGACCCCGAATAGCTGCAGCAATCTTGAGAAAGAAGAACAAAGTTGGAGGAATACCAGATATCAAGCAAATCACAAAGCCATTGATTTCAAAATTGTCTGGTATTGGCACAAGAACAGACATATAGACAAATGGAACAGAACAGAGAAACCAGAAATTGACCCAGCCATTATGCTCAATTAATTTAACTAGGAGGCAAGAGCATAAATGGAGTCAAGACAGTCTCTTTAATAAATGGTGTTGTGATAATTGGACAGATACATTTAAAAAAATGAAAATAGACCACCAATTTACACCATACAGAAAAATAAACTCAAAATGGATAAAAAAAAATCTTAAATGTAAGATGGGAAACCATAAAAATCTTAGAAAAATCCATAGGCACCAAAATACCAGACATATGTTGTAGCAATATATTTACCATTACAGGGGCAATGGAAACTAAGGAAAAAATAAACAAATGGGACTACATCAAAATAAAAAGCTTCTGCACAGCAAAAGAAACCATCAACAAAATAATAAGAAAGACTGCTGCATGGGAGGACATATTTTCTAATGTTTTATCTGACAAGGACCTAAATTCCAAAATCTATAGGGAACTCACACATCTTAACAAAAGGAAGATAAACAATCCAATCAAAAAATAAGCAAAGGACTTAGACACTTTTCAAAAATGGACATAAAGAAGGCCAAGAAATACATGAAAATGTGCTCAAACTGACTAATCATCTGAGGGATTCAAATAAAAATGATAATGAGGTAGCATCTCACACCTGTCAGAATGCTTATTATCAACAAATCAACAAATGACAAGTACTGGCAAGGACGCAGAGAAAAAGGAACCTTTGCACATGGCTGGTGAGAATGCAGACTGGTGCAGCCACTGTGGAGAACAGTATGGAGTTTCCTCAAAACATTAAAAATGGAACTCCCATTTGACCCAGTAATTTCACTTTTAGGACTATCTCCCAAGAAATCAGAAACATCAATTAGAAAAGACATATGCACCCCTATTTTCATAGTAATGCAATTTATAATAGCTAAGATTTGGAAACAACCTAAGTGCCCATCAGCATATGAATGGCTTAAAAAGAACAGTGGTACATCTACACAATGGAATACTACACTGCTGTAAAGAAGAAAGAACCCTTACCATTTGCAACAGCATGGATAGACATGGAGAGCATTATACTAATGAAATAAGCTAGTCAGAGAAAGATAAATATCACATGATCTCACTCACTTCTGGAATATATTGAACAACATAAACTGATGAACTAAAACAGATTCAGAGACATAGAAGTATGGAACAGACCATAAAACTTCAGCAGAAAGGCAGGGGAGGTGTAAGATGGGGTAAGAGATCAATGAAAATATTTGTATGCATGCATATAAGCATAACTAATGGACACAGACACTAGGAGGGTGAAGGCATGTGTGTGTGTGGGGGGGAGGGTAGGGGTATCTAGGGAGAGGTCAATGGGGAAAAAGGAGACATATGTAATACTATATGTAATCCTTTAAACAATGAAGAATTTAAAAATAAATAAAATATGGCTCCTCTGTGGCATCTAGATAATAGATTATATAGGGGAAAAGTCATTATTCATGGTAACTAAGGAAGTTGGAGTGTGGGCCCTAATAGTTGGTGAGGGCTAGGGTAGGGAGAAATTGATAATTATATCAGTTCTAATGTCACCTATGGTATTATATGGTCTGGTTTTCTGAGGGTGTAGTTGGCCGGGTCTGCTTTCATGGGTATGGGGCTAAAATACAACTGAGGTTAAGATGTCATCTTTAGTATGACTGAATCTCTGTTCTCCAGGTCCACAGACCTGAGGCTTTGTTCTTAAGATAGCTCTAATGATAACCATAACTGAACGTCTTAAGGGCTTAATGATTAAGGGAGTGAACATTCAGCATGTGCAAAGGTGGAAGGATAAGGTTGAAAGGAGGCAAGTGAGTCATAGTGCCATTAAACTGGACAAGGCTATCTCAAATTAAGGAGAATATTATAATTTAAAAATGAATTTCATGTGCATTTACATGATCTCTATCTACAGGATGGCAAATGGAAAAATTATATTAGAAATTATAACTACTTCCTCATATATTTTATTTGCCCAAAGGTTAGAACCCATTCAGCATAGATCAATTTATTAATCTAGATAGGGGCGTAACCTGGGGAAAGAGTGTTTTGATGAAACTCCAACCTCTTATTTTAACTCTTCCACTAACATATTTTCCCCCCTTTTCTCTCTTTTAGACTCCAAAGAACATACACCATCATTATACTAAATCAGTCTGCAATGTTGTAACTTATATTGGATCTTTTTCTATAGTTCCTGGTTATAGGTAGCCAAACCCTTGGAATTTCCAGAGTTGAGTGTGATAAAGGAGTCTTTTCTTATGTAAATGATATGGCTTTTGGATTCCACCCAAGGGTCCAGGCTTGTTGCCAGAAGAACCAACCTCTTGACTAGAGGTTTGGAGCTTTCAGTCCCACCTCCCATCCACTCTCCAGGGAGAGGAAATGGACTGGAGGTTGAGCTTAATTGTCAATGGTCAATGACTTTGCCAATCCTCACTATGCAATGAAGCTTCCATAAAAACCCAGGAGAATAGCTCTTTGGTCCTTTTCCAGAGAACTTTCACATTGGGGAACCAGAAAGAAAGATTCCACATGCCACCACGCCAGGCCCCAGTCTTCCCAAGGACAGAAGGAGATCCTTTGTTTGTTGATTCATATTCTTTAATATCCATTGTAATATATTAGTAATTTACTGAGAAAACAGAATTTCCTGAGTTATGTGAGCTGTTCAAGCAAATTAATCAAACCCAGAGACAGAGGGCATTCGACTCTCCAACCTGCAGCTGGTTCATCAGTAGCACTGGTAAGAGTGTGGGCTTGCTACTGGCATCTGAAGTTGCAGGGACAGACCTGTAGGACTAAAACCTTCAGTGGTGGAATCTTATGCTATCTTTGGGTAGATTGTCAAAATTGAGTTGAATTCTTAGAATTGGGGCTGGGAATCCTTCATTTGCTACCACTTTCTCCAAGTGACTTTAGTTGATTTTCTGCCTCATGATCCCAGACTCCGGGTAAGTACACAACCAATGTCCCAGGACTTCCCTAAAACTACCAACAATAAGTATCAAACATCGAAGGGACTCTAAATTCTGTATCCTTTCTTCCTTACCACTCCTTCTCACATATCTGATTTTGATGCCAAATTAACCACAGGTCCTGTGATTCATTGAATCCGTTCTCCACTTAGTCATCCCCTTTAATTAATGCGGCTCTTCACTTATAAGGAGCCAAAGTAAATTCTACCTCTGTTTCTCTGACAATAACTATTTACTTCTCATTTGAAATCAGCCAAGTTTTGTTAGCGAGGTAAAAGATTGTTCTCTAATCATGTTGTGGGTAAGAGGTAAGGACTAGTCTGAATAGCAGGGAATGTCAGTGTCCCAGTTTGGCCTCTCAATCCCAGCTGATGTTAAATCTTGGGGAGAAGGGATCTATGACTGCTCCTGAGGGTGTGCGGTTACCTAAGGGTGAGTGGCTATTCTGCGGCTACATGACATTTAAATGTCTTTGTGTGGCTTTCTTTCTCTGTGAGGGAAAAGAAGCAGCATAAACGTTCACCTTCCTAAAGAGAAGTAATCTATATCACTCCATGTCTTTCTTTGCGCATCTTCAAAGATGACCTGCTAGCTTGTCTCATTTACCATCTCTGGGGAGAAAGTTTTATAGGAAGAAATAAAACTAATCTATTGTTAGATTCTTCAAGGGAAACTGGCTTGCAGAAGTTTGGCAGGAGTTTAGTTGGAATATTTTTTAAGCATTTACTTTTTTTAGGAGAAGAATAGCAATAGGATAAATATAGCAAATATAAAACTTCAATGGATAGTCAGTTATGGCAGGGATGTTTGCACACTTTCTAAGAATGAAAAAAAAAATGCAGCATAAAAAGTGTGACACCTTGGGATATAGCTTTTTTGTTGCAAAGCTATCTAATGGGGAAAACTCCATGGGTTGTTTTTAAAGTATCACACAATATAGATTCAGAGAAACACACCTTAGCATCTTAATGTCTTCTAGAGAGAAGGCCTGGTTAGAAATCAGAAAACCCAGAATTGATCATGGGTGGGTTTTGTTTGTTTGTTTTTCTGTATTCAATGTTTCATTCTCCACTTATTAAATCAGGAAAAGAATGATGTCTACCAATTAAATGGTCTGAGCATCAGATCAATGATGTATGAAATGTGCTTAGTAAATTAGGAAAGGCTGAACAAATATGAGGTTGTGTTTTTATTCAGATATAATTTACATAGAGTGAAAGCTACTCTTTTTGAGTGTTGTCACCATGACACATTAATGTATTTATCACCACAATCAAGATCTAGAACATTCCATCATTCCCATAGTTTGGCAGTTGCTCAGTAGTTCTTTCACTGCACAGAACACAGTTGTGGTCATTGTGCTATGGCATTGGTAGTCTATTCTCTTTCTCTGCTGGGTTTATGACAGCATGTACATACATTTGCCTTTAAAAATGTTTGGATCTGCTCTCCTTTTGGTGAGTAAGAGCAAATCTGCTGTAAACATAAGCATACAAGTTATTGTGTGGATATAGATTTCGATTTCTCTTGAGTGACTACTTGGGAGTGGGATTAATGGCTCATAACTGTGTATTTGGCTCATATGAACTCTTTTCCTAAATGGCTGTATAATATTCATTCTGGTCATCTGTGTATGAGAGTTCTAGTTGCCCTGCACATTCACCAGCACTTGGTATTATTGATTTGCTTTTCGTTTTGGCCATTAAAATAGGTGTGCACTAGTGGTTCATTATGATTTTCATTTGAGTTTTCCTAATGACTAATTAAGCTTATGTTCATGGAAAATATATATATGAAGTGTATGAAGTGTCCTTTCAAATCTTTTGCCCATATATTATTACTTTTTAAAACACATTATTTCATTTGAATGTTCATGCTTTCCCATTAGCAGGCTATATCATTCTCCTGTTATAGATGACAGACCTGAGCCTCAGGGTGGTTTGAAGACACTGTACAAAGATGCCCAGGTAATAGGTGTCAGGGCTGGAGTGAAAGGACAGGGCTGTCTGGTTATGAAACTCATATGACAGTCACTGCTGCTGTGCAGTTCCACAAAAGCCATTGCTCCTCTCAGATTTGAAAGTACCAGTATCTAGTGGGCTCCAGGGAAATTATGTCCACTGAGAGCTATCAGTGGAAAGGTTTGAATCAGGTCAATTTGCATCTGTTATTCAATTATATGTCAGAACTAACCATTTTATGTGAGAGTCATATTTACTGAGGAGGTGCAAAATAAGTTCACTGTTTTGAATTAGGAAACCAATCTGCTGGAGAAGCCTCAGACTTTAAGGACATAGAATCGTGGGTTCCTACCTCTTTGGCTTATCCGTGTCTCTACCTTCTTCACTGATGCTAGACACGATTCTCAGGAAATTACTAATTTCCTGAGAATCACTCCAGAGGACACAAGAAGTTTTTCTTACTACAAGCATTTATAAGTTAGTGCAGACTTTCAGTCTACAGGGAAAGGAACCTTAGACTCAACCTTACCGTCTAGGAAATAAGGACTATAAACCAAATATAGTGAGGACTGGAGACCAAAGCTAATGTGTGTGACCTGCTTAGAATAAAGAGTTAGCAAGTGGTAGTCACGTTATAATAATGTTACCTACTGGGTGCAAAAGATTTTGTTAAATGAACTAAGTAATTCTACCAACTCCATGAATTAAATATTCTCTCAACTTTTCAGGTGACAAAATTGACATACTAAGTGATTAAGTGATTATACAGAATAGTCCAAACAGGAAACAAGGATGGGATTCAACCTAGGTCTATTTGATTTGTAAGTCATACTTGTGACCCCTCAGCTTACTGTTTTATTGTAAACTATTTGGAAAATGCCTAAAAACAACCTACTGCTTAATATTCTACTAAGTACAGAGCAGAGAAGGTTGAAGGCAAGACAACAATTTCTCTCTGGAAATTTCATCTGACAATATGCTAAGAAAGAAGAAAAAAAATGCGCTTGTTATGAATACACACACATTAGGTCATAGGTCCCTGACAGGTTGCAGGGCAGCATTCTTCTTCCAGCTGCACTGCCCTGGGGGCGAATGGAAAGGCCAACAGCAGATGTAGGCAGAGGGGTTAGGAAGGCACATGGACACCTCCAGGAGGACAATAGAGTCTGAGGCTTTCCTGTGGTTTCACAGAAAGCAGCTGTGTTTATAAAATCCATACTGTGCATCTGGCCATTTTCATTTTTTAAAAAATTCAATTTACGTTCAATATTATTTTGCATTAGTTTCAGGAGTACAATTTAGTGGTTAGATAATCATATAGTTTACAAAGTGTTCCTCCTGGTACTTTCTGTACCCAATTGGTACCATGCATAGTTTTTACAATATATAACTTTGCTCTCTCTTTTTAAAAAAATGTATTTTTATTGATTTCAGAGAAGAGGGAAAGGGAGGGAGAGAGAGAAACCTCAATGATGAGAGAGAATCATTGATTGGCTGCTGCCTGCACAACCCCCTACTAAGGATTGAGCCCACCACCCTTGCATGTGCCCTGGTTCACAGGTAGACACTCAACCACTGAGCCACGCCAGCTGGGGTATGCCCTTTTTTCTTAAATTAATAATTCAAAACATGGAGAAAAATGTTCTCCATTTTACTGACTGAGAAACAGGCTCAAGAATTTTGCAAAATATCACCTATCTAGTAAGAAATAGATCTTAGAAAAACAGGTTGCTTTTTCCTGCAAAAATTTTGATCTTTTTACCAAACAATTCTTTCCCTAAAGGGAATGCCAGACACTCCCAGCTTTGGGCAGAAAGCACCATAAATGCTATTTCCAGACATCAGCACAGTACACACTGCTGGCTACTCCCTGCCACTGGTCAAGGGAAGAGCAGGGAAATGAAGTGTTTGCTGGGGGGCTCCATGTGAGAGCTGGGGAAGGGGCGGGGAAGTGAGAGTCTGGGAACACTGCATTCTTTTACTCATTCTACAGAGATACACCAAGCTTGAAACTTGGAAGAACTGCAATAGCTACAGGAGGCAAGGTAAACAGAAAACAAAGTGGAAAGGGTTTTATTACATTTAGACTTAATAAGCCATGGCTATCCTATATAATAAAAGCCTGATATGCTAAGTGTTCAGTCGTCTAGCTGGCCATTCAACCAATCAAAGCATAATATGCTAATGATATGCTAAGGCCTCTCAACTGCTTGCTATGATGTGCACTGACCACCAGGGGGCAGACACTCTGGGGTCCAGATGATCAGGACTGAGCGAGAAGGGCCAGACATGGCCTGGAGCCCTCCTGTGGTCCCTCCCTGGCTGGCCAACCTTCCGTGTCCCTCCCTGGCCCCGATTGTGAGTGTGCATCAGTGGCGTCTCTTAGCCTGGCCTGCACCCTCTCACAATCTGGGCTGAGAGACCCCCTCCTTCCCTGAGTGCACAAACTTCATGCACCAGGCCTCTAGTTTGATAGAAAATGCCCTCTCTGAAGAACTGTGTCAAAGTGTGAGATTACTTAAAGCATCTAGTTCCATGCTCTGTCCTGGAGCAAAGATCTTTGTTTGTGTCCATGTATCTTAAAGGTAAATTCAAAGAAACACAACCTGATGTCTTGTGAAGACATTGAACTTATAAATGAAGGCACTGTGGATAGGATATATACTGCTGTGTGTGTGTGTGTGTGTGTGTGTGTGTGAGAGAGAGAGAGTGGGGGGGGCATGTTAGGATTCAAGGTAAATACAAGAAAAATATAGCATGCATATAAGCTCAGGAATAATTAGTTCAGACTTATTGTGGATAGATTTTCTGGTCTGTTGTTATAGGTGACACAGTAGACTATTCTCCCTTGTTCTTACTCAATAAATACAACTATAAACCCTAGAAAAAAAGTCACCAGGCAACCAAGAACTCTTAAAGATGGAAAGTGGAAGCAGACTGGTTAATGACCTAGCACTGAGGGAACCACTTGGCAGCAGGTGACTTACACCCCACAGATCAGAAGCAGTAACCAGGGACCAGCATTTCTTGAGCACTAACTCAACAATGGGAAGGTCTGCAGGGAGGAGTCTTACTCCCCCTGATCCGAGTCTGGCTGGTGACCTACCTCCTTGAGGAGGGTCCCTCGGAAGCCAGGGGAAGCCCTCTCCTTCCTATGGGGCCTGGGGCTCTCCTCCTCCACATCCAGCTAGACACACCGAGGCCTGGCAGCAGCACCTGCCTGGGAAGCGCTGTCTGCCCTTCACCCTGACCCCCTTCCTGCCTAGAGGTCCAAGGACCTGGGCAGCGCAGGGGAGACCTGTCACAACCAGGCTGGCACTTTGTCCCCCAGGCTGGAGGGCCTTGGAGGGCACCGGGTGACTGAGCCAATGGGACCCACACTTTCTTAATCTAATAACTCCCATGCCCAAGTTATTATCAAAACGTATCCTTCATGCCCAAGAGAAGGAAAAATCACAACGTGAATGCAAAAAGAGAATAAATTAATGCCAACAAGGAGATGAATCAGATTTTGGAATTATCTGACAACGATTATTATTTAGATCTTTAAAATATGCAATGTGATTCAAATTCTAGTCAGCTCTACTGCTTTTGGGAATTTATTACCTAGGAATTATCAAAGGTACTAAAACTTTTGTATGGAAATTTGTTCATCACAGCATTGCTTGAAACTGAAAAAAATTAAAATCCTCTAGCTTTTATAAAAACAAGAAAATATATTATGAAATATAAATAAAATATATAATATTTTTAAATCATGTTTTTAAAATATATTTTTCTTTCATGGAAAATGTACCCAATGTAATGTTAAACGGAAAAAAAAAAAACAGGATTTAGAAAAGCACTAAGGAAGTAATTTTAGTTTTAGAAGTACTCTTGGCTATAGTATATAAAAATCTCTAAAAGGAAGTACAATATTTTCATGACACTTATTTCTGGGCAGTAAGGTTCTATATTATCTTAATGCTTTTCTTTAAAATTTACCACATTGTTCAAAGGCGACATAATAAGCAAGAGCAAATTGATGTTGTGTAGGAAAACACATGCTTTAATTAAGGAATCTAAGCCTGCTGACATCTTGATCTTGGACTTCCAGCCTCAAAACTGTAAGAAAATTAATTTCTGTTGTTTCAGCCACAGGATATGACATTTTGTTATGGAATCCCTCACAAACTAATACACTATAAACTTTGAAATAATGTTAACTTCCTCTAGCCTTAATAACTTGTTAATTTGCTTCCTAAATTCACATTTTTATGGGTTAGAAAAAGTACATTTGTCAGTCTTTAAATGGTCTAGAACTGAGGCATTAATTTACACTTTTGATGCTGACCAATCAATTCTATCTTGTATTCCAAATGAGATACAATATCAATAATTTTTTTTTTTTGCTACATTGTAAACTTCTGGCCTAGAATAGTGTATGAGTTTATTGTAGAATAGTAAAACACATTTAAGTGAACGTTAGTTTATACTTGTAGTTTGTTGTTTTTATTAAAGACCATATTGCTATTCCTCTTCCTCCTCTCAAATTT